TGGCTGGCTGGGGAATTCTGGGAGTTGAAGTCCACCCATCTTAAAGCGGCCAAGGTTGAGAAACACTGATTTAGGGATTTCTGAAGGCCTCAGCAGGAATCGAGAGACCTGCGCTCGCTCCTCCCTCCCTTCCTTCCGTCCCCAGTTCTGGGATAGCAAGACCCATAATGCTGGTAACCTTTTGGCCTAACCCACACTGCCTGCCCCAAGTGTCACTTTCTCTCCCGCTAATAGCTTTGTTGACCCATCCCCAGATCGACTTTGTCGCCCACGATGACATCCCATACTCCTCTGCTGGCAGTGATGACGTCTACAGACACATAAAAGAAGCTGGTGAGTCGGCGCCTGCAGAAGCTCCTCCAAACTCTTCCTCTCCGTGTTTAGCAGCTCTGGCCGGGGGGGAGTTGGCTTAATGAGGCTCTTCGGGTCTCTGCCTGGTTCTGGAGGCCTGCGAGCTTCTGGGAGCGGCCTTTTCCCGGGTTGAACTCAAGGGTGGGAGCCTGTAACTCTCCTGCTGAATTGAGGGGCTCGAGATGGCTTTCCAAAGTGGGGCGGATGGATTGGGTAGAGAATTCTGCTGCTGCGAGGTGGAAAGGAGTAACTCCAGTGCAAAGACCATCCTCGGTCCCACTTTATTTCTCTTTTGAAGTCCTCCATATGAAGTTCACTGCAAATCTTCTGGAAGGGAAGCATGCCTTTCCGTGTTGCATCTGTAGTGAATCTGTGACTGCCTTTGGCTGCCATAGGAATGTTTGCCCCGACGCAGAGAACCGAAGGCATTTCCACCTCGGATATCATCACCCGCATTGTCCGGGACTATGACGTATACGCCCGGCGGAATCTGCAGCGGGGCTACACCGCCAAGGAACTCAACGTCAGCTTCATCAATGTGAGTTGAGCGTGTGCTCGGAGGAACGTCCCGTCTTGCACCAAATGGAAGAGGGAGGTTCAGGACTCCTTTCAAAAAAAAAAAAAAGGAAAGAGGGAAACAAGCAAGGGTTTCTCAAGATACCTAAACGCTTGATAGAGAAAGTTGGGCTCATTGCGTTCACAGCTCTTGATATTGGAAAGAGTCTTGAGAATACAGGTAATCCTTGAGTTATGACAGTAATTGGGACCAGAATATCCATCACTAAGCGATGTAGTCATTAGGCAAAACATCACATGACCACGTTGCTTAGCGATGCCAATCCCAGCAGTCCCCGTTGCCATTGTTAACCGAATCCCACTGGTCGTCAGGCAAGGACCCACCTCGATCCATGCCATTCCTGGCTTGGTCCGTCCCAGCCCCAGCCCCCACCCACCTATCTTGCCCTCCCCATCTCTACCCTTTTGACCACCCTGCACAGCAGCACTCCACCTCAGCAGCACTGGGGCTGAAGTAGAGGCCCGGGCCTTCAGCAGTTTCGGCTGGCCGCCATTGCCACTTGAGCCCCAGCACCACTGCCAAGGAGTGCCGCTGTGCAGGGTGGCCCAAAGGACAGAGTTGGGAGGGAGATAGGCATTGGGGTGCCGCAGTGGGTGTAACTTTGGGGACCAGGCATAAGTATCATTTGTTCAGCACCGCCGTAACTTCAAACAGTTGCTGAAGGAATGGTCATAACTCGAGGACTACCTGTAGGATGCAATTGGTTGTGAATATAAAAAAACAGGGTTGCTGGACAGTTTTGAGCAGTTAAACTCAGCTCTTGGTGTGTCTCTCTTCTCTGCTGCCACCTTATCCTTCTCCACCCCATATTTCCAGAAGATCCACATGCGATGAGCCCAGGTTACCATCAAAATAAGTATGTTTCCTTTGTCCCTTCAGTTCTGATGACTGAGATCAAAAAGTGGCCCCTTTGTGCGGCGGAATCCTTGCCCTCCTCTGAAGAACAGGCGGTTCAGCCAATGCTCCCCCGTAACCTTTCTGGTCACCTGACTTTTGCAGGAGAAGAAGTACCACTTGCAAGAGAGGGTGGACAAGGTGAAGAAGAGGGTGAAGGACGTGGAAGAGAAATCCAAGGAGTTTGTCCAGAAGGTGGAGGAGAAAAGCATCGATCTCATTCAGAAATGGGAAGAGAAATCTCGCGAGTTCATCGGCAACTTCTTGGAGATGTTTGGGCCTGAAGGCGCATTGGTAAGGGGATAGTGGGAATCCAGGCCTCCCATTCCCACCGGGCCTCGGGGCTTGTGCCTCGTGATTTCGCCCCGACCCTCAACTAAATCAGCTGTATTCACTGCTCCCTTTGGGCACACCCAGGGGCCGTGTGAAAGGTCCGGGGTCTTCCAGATCCCCTGTTTATAAGTCCTGTGGCCCTTTGAATGTGCCCTGAAACAGAAAATGCACAAAGCCAAGCGTTCGGGGAACAGAATGTTCCGCCAAAACATCCCTGAAGCCACCAGAAAAGGAATTGCATATTCAGTTCCGGGAGATAGATGCAGATATAGATTTCTGTATCTCTGTGGAAACTGGCTGGTAGCGCATGGCACCTTTTTAAGAAGGAACTTGCGCTTCCTAACTAGCCCCTGGGGACCGAGCAGCTGCTGTATTCTGGACCCAGTGATCTGAGTGGGTAAAAACAACCTCTTCCTGGATTAATAGCAACTCACTAGAGCTTTATTTACTGTATGTATGTATTTACTTCCTTGCTCACGTAGATGATATGCTGTCCCAGCTGCAAGGGAGTCTGAGTGCCTCCAGCATCTTAAGCGTTTGCCCATTCCGCTGCCACTCTCAGCAAGGGGCAGTGCAGGGCTGGCCTTGACCAGAAGTTCAGGAGGTTTGGTTAGGACTTCGATAGAAGACGATCAGGGAATCCCAGGGATGTGGAAAAGCGTCCCGTCAGAAGGCAGCACCCCATGAAAACAACAATCACAGTTGTGATTGTGAAGTCTTCATAAGTTGAGTCCAATTTGGGGGAGCCTGCTCCCTGCCAGACCTGACACCCGGCTGCTGTACATCTCTGGTGCTTAGAACACCAGGAATAGTCCTGAATGAATCCCATCAGCTCACGAAAGCTCATGTGTTTGGGTAAGATTTGTTAGCCAGAAAAGGTGCTGCGAGACTCCTGATTTTTGGCCACATGCTATCCTGGATTCTCTGTGTGTGTGTGTGTGTGTGCGTGTGCATGTGTGTCACTCTTGACTCCTGGCGACCACATGAGCAGGTCCCTGCCATTTTCCTGGCAACGTTTTTCAAATCAGTTTGCCACCGCCTTCTTCCTCGGGCTGAGCGAGAGGAACGGTTGTTTCAGATTTGGCTTCCTTTTAAGGCAGGGCCTTGATCTGTGTTCTGAGCCCCTTCCTCTTTCTTCCTCTCACCCTGTCCAGAAACACATGCTGAAAGAGGGGAAGGGGCGAATGTTGCAGGCCATCAGCCCCAAGCAGAGCCCCAGCAGCAGCCCCACACACGACCGCTCGCCCTCGCCCTCCTTCCGCTGGCCTTTCACCGCCAGGACGCCCCCCCTGTCTCCAGCCAACCTCTCCCGGAGCAAGTCGACGGCCAGCTACGACATCAGCGAGGATGAGGAGGACTGACCCCTGCCCGGAAGGAGCAGAGGGCTGAAGGTCGGGGGCCACTGTGTGAAGCAACGGGGACTTCTGCCATGCTCCAGAAGATCAAGCACAAGAGCTGAGACCCGCTGCGGCCACCAGAGCCTCTTTCTCTCCCCGACCTCGGGGAGGCGGGACACGCCGCAGCATTTTCCTTTTTCTCCTCTTCCCCTTTCATGGGTTATTTTTCCTCCCTTTCATGGGACAGAGGGGAACGGTGGCCCTTATTTTAAACCAAAAGTTTTATTGTATCAGTAGCCAAGAGCATCGAACTGGAGGCCCTGAGGAATGGGAGGCGATGGGGCTGGTAGGGCAGGGGGAACCTCTCCCACTTGCCCACCCTTTCCTTTGGCTTCCCATTTCATCCTTGTGTCGCGGTCCCTTGGGCGTGCGTGAAGCAGAGCCCCTTAAAGCAGGCAAGCCATTGCGGGGGAGCTGCAGGCTGCAGAATTACCCAAAGGCTGCTCAGTGTGCCTGGGGAGGGGGGGCCAACTTGCAGCCCCTCCAGTTCCTGCCTTTCTAGTCCTCAAGAGAAAAGGCTGAGGGATTATGCAAAGCAAAGTGTTGCTTCAAGGTTTCCCCCAGTGACTTACTGTTGGGTTTAATGCTCACCGCTCTTCCTGTTTCGGGCCCAAAGTGAACGCTGCCTTTTCGGTTCCTTTTGCAACGTCCTGCAAGGGGCTCGAGTCTGCTTCCACCAGCTGCAGGTGCACGGGGGGAGTGGGTGAACTCTCTGTCCTGGCTCAGCTGAGAGTTTTGGACTGTTGCTGTCAGCCCCTGGGGTGGAATATCCATAGCCCTGGAAAGCCACAACCAGGACCGACTGGCCCCCCTCGCCCAACTGAGTATGGAAAACTGACCCCACTGGCTCTCGGCCCCCAAAGCTTGCTTCTTTTCGGAAGATGCTGTTGGGCAGCGACACCCCGTGTGCTCGGAGCCCTGTTTGAAGTAGCATCTCACCCTTTCGTATCCCGCCCCGTAGCAGAGGGCCACAAGTCTCTGCAGGCGGCTGGCCTTTGTTCCCAGACTTTTCCAGAATGCTTTCTCTGTCATGCGCACGCCGAGGTGTGCTCTCCTGTTCAGATCTCGACTCAACTTACGTCTGTGCAGTAGCACTGAAGGGAGGGAGGGACCCCTTGCGGTCAAGAATCAGCCCGGATTCTGCCACACTGCTGAACAAGGGTGGTGCTCCAGGGAACCCAGTAGGGCACATCTAAGCTGAGGTGGGGGCATCTTCCTCCCTCGCCCCAGATTGCAGGATGTGGAGTGCGAGTCTGGCCATCTGCCACCCCGCTCCTCTGGAGGATGCAAAGCCGCATCTGGCAGACAGCTGCTCTCTTGCCCTGGCAAAGCGCCCATTCGTTAGGAACTCACTTCTTGTTGGCTGTTGTTCTTAACTATATAATAAATGTTCGGGTTTAACTGACTGTTCTGTAGCTTGCTGTCCCCAAATGGCATTTCCCTAGTTTGGCTGCTCCTGGGTTCCCTTCCTATGTATTTCCTTCCTGCAGCCTATCAGTCTCATTTGAGCGCAGATGCTTCATGGGTCAGTTTCCTAGGCAAGATACCCAGATTAACACTCCCAAATGCAAGCGGCGTGACGTGATGTGGTGCTTGCCTTTTAGGCAGCAAAATCCTTTCTAATGCTTCCTTCCCCAGCATCTTCACAGCTGGGACTTCACCCAAGAAGTTCCCACTCTTCCAGGAAAGAGAGAGAACTCACTTTGCAGGGCGAAAGCAGCAAGGGAGGCAGGTGACGTCACCTGCATCATGGCATTATCTTGTAAGCAGCTGGAATTCTCTAATTTGCACCTCTTGCATCTGCATTTGCAAATCAGATTGCAAATGACCACCTCCAGAATGGTGGTATTCCCACAACACGTTTAACCGGACTGTGAAGTTAACCCACTAACCAGTGCGCTAAATCGTAAACTACCAAACAGGCTGGGTTTATTCCAAGCAACCTACAAAAAGAGTAACCAACGTAAGTCTGTTCTGGGCAAGCATCTGGCAGGTCTTTACCTGACCTGGTTAAACATTTCGTGTGCACTTCGCCAGGGACGTTGGAAGAGCGTTTGTCTCTTTCTGTCTCCACATTAAACCCCCCACAGATGCCAGGGAAAGCAAGGCCGTAACCCAGATCATGCTGAAGTATATAGTATTTCTCATTTTTTAGCCATCTTGTAAATCCTTTTTCTGACTTCTAATGTGGCAGAAACACATGGCACCTGCCTGGCAAAAATACGTTTCCAAGCATCTTTGGAGTCAAAGGCACTACATTTCTATTTAGGGCAGTGTTTCTCAACCTCGGCGACTTGAAGACGTGTGGACTTCAACTCCCAGAATCCCCCAGCCAGCCATGCT